TAAGTGTGTGTGTATGTGTACTGCACAAAACAGACAATAGTTTAAACTATCGTCGAAAAACATAACGAATTTTTTTTTTTATTTTAATATGTGGAAAGATCCACTCCTTGCCTAAAGAAGGTCGCGAGACCGGAAACTCGTGTAGGAAAATTATGGAAAATAAAATATAATATATATATATATATATATATATATATATATATTAACAAATCAGCATTATAGCCAAAAGCTTTTGCGGTTTCTCTCTTCTTTTTAAAATATACGATTTTCTCTCGTTGGAACAACTATAATCTCTTCCCTATATATACCTACAACAAAAGTATGCCTCGAACAGAAAAGAAAACCATGGAAGAACTCCTTGAGCTATACAAAATTACCAACAGAAAACAGGAACTTCTGGAGGAAGTAATACAGAAATTGAACAAAAAAAATGCCCTCTATACTTCTAGAAATCACATCGCAACAAACCAGGGAACACAGAAGTACGGATGGAATATTTCAAAACGCATTGTGGATAACTAGAAAATATCAAAAACTGTACATCCAAGAGGAAGCGTACAAAACGGAGAGACAGAATCTCCGGGTGTTGGACAACCTACTAATTCATAGAAAAGTAGCATTTTACAATACCATCAAAAACAATGATACAACAACAATATACACAACCTTCATAGAAATGGGCAAATCATTTATTCCAAGGAAATTCCGAGAAAAAATTAATCCTAAAGACCTAAATTGAAATGCAAGAAGACAAAACACTACACTTCACGAAAAAATACACCGAGATTGATAATAAATTATTGACTGAATTCTAGGTATTATATCCCATAGAAACTCACCAATTCCTGTCAGAATTATGGGAGTCAAAATGCAAAGAAAAGGAGGGAAAAACCCGGAATATTTTGGAAAGATAACCTGGCTGAAAACATTACCAAGAAAGCAAAAATTGGATAATGAGACAGAACCAAAAAAAACACGATCCAAACTCACAATAAAACACAATATTCAACACAAAACTACATGCGACATTTAAAATACAGAGAAAAACACACAACAAAGTTAAGAACCCTAATACATACTACTAGAAACACACCCACACAACAAATACAATTACGAAAATATACTTAACAGCTCGCAAACAAACCTTTACAACAACTATCACACTATAACGCAAACATAGGTCAGAATTCATCAAGCCAAAACTTACAAATACCACTTAGCACAACAAACCAAATCTAACAACCACTACCCATATCAAGGAATGCAATAAAATTCCCCGAAAATCTCTACATACAATCCATACAGAAACGACAAATCTAGAAACATCTAGAAAGGATAACGCCAATTTTACAAAGAGACACTTTCAATAACTAAATAAAGCTAAAACTTTTAGAGAGATTCTATCTCTTAGCAAACCCGAAATATGTGGAAAGAAACAATAATTATTTTTTAGAAGCCCCAGTCCGAACAATAAGACTAGTTTAGATGATGAAAACACAAAATAATAAACCTATCTATATATACATTTATAAACAAAATCAACCTTAATTAAAATTAGGCCTAAAATTCTGCCCTGCTCCGAAAAGCAATATAACAGACCTAAAAAGTGACCTTAGAGAATTTGAATGCAAACCCAGACTAAAAGAAACATTTAATAATAATGAAAACATTAAAGATGAATCATTAGTAAAAAAAATAAATCCAATTCCTTCCCAAACTAAAAGTATAACACAAATGAGCCAAACATATTTTTGAAAAACTCTGGAACCTCGACCTACAAAAAAATCCAAACCATTTAACAATCTTACATACAAACAAAGACAAGCCTTGAAAGCGTCCTGAGAAATAGCGACATAATTATAAAGGAAGCAGATAAAGGCAGCGCTATAGTGAATATAGACAAAATATACGATAAATCAAAACCTCTATAAGCACTAGGGGATAATAGTGCTTATAGAGGTTTTGATTTATGGTATATTTTGTCCAAAAGATTAATACTAAAAACTAATACAAATTAATCGACACCAACATAGTCAAAAATATTATATCAGAAATTACATAATTCTGCGCGACACATAAGATAATAACAAAAAAATGAAAAGGATTTCCTAACAAACTTTGTACCAAAAACAAGTAATTTCTACGAACTACCAAAAAATTCACAAAACGAATGACATAAAAGCAGTTATCCAGACACAAAACTCTGAATATATTAACATCTCAAACTCCAGTGACCTTACATTCAGACCCATAGCAGGGCCAGTCTGTCCAACTATCAAACTCAGTAAGTTAATAGACAAAATACTACAACCATTTATTAAGCAGATTAAAAGCTACATCAGAGACGATATTCACTTCCTTAGCTCCATACCACAAAAAATTGACCCGGGAAAACTTATGGCATCTTTTACCATCAGTAGCCTATATAGCAATATACTCCACGAATTATGTCAACAGATTGAAAAACATCCAGAAACGCTACATCCGAGATTCACTAAGG